CCTTCTTTCCTCAGACCTCACATACCCATCAGCAAGCTGAGCGTGTCGGAGCCTTACGAGACCTACATCAGCCGGAGCTTCCAGGTGACCAGGGAGATCCTGGCCGAGTGCAAAAGCAAGGGTAAGCTGCTGCGGCCATTTAACACCACAGCCAGGCCACTCCCATATAATGACTGGTTTCTGATGGTTTTAGTTCAGTCACCCCGCAGTTAACCGAAGCCGTGTATTTACGCAGTAAACCACCTTCCCTGCTGTGTCAGGTGCGAATCGGGATCTAACAAACAGCTGCCTTCTAAATCCCCGGTGCTGTGGACCCTGGAATTATCTTTCCCCAGTTACTGTCATGTCAAGTAATGCTGCCTCAGCTGGCCTACCTCTGAAGGAAAAACCTACAAACAGAAAATACAGCGCAAATACATTAATCGGTGACTCCCAGATGTGTTTGCTAATACACGTTTTGACCCAGAAGTGGATCCCGCCTCAGTACGGCAGAGGAAACCCTCTGTCTGGATAACAAACATGATTAATAAAAACGATCAGGCCAGTCCAGGCTAATTAATGCTTGTTTTTTGCACTACACATGCTTTGCAGCAATTATTGCTTGAAAGTTACTCTTTTTGTATAAACTTTTAAGGCTTCCTGCTCCTTTCTGTCCCCCCCCCCCCAATGCTGGGCCCCCATCCAGGGAACAATGTGCTGATTGTGGCCCATGCCTCGTCCCTGGAGGCCTGCACTCGCCAGATGCAGGGCCTCAGCCCGCAGAACTCCAAGGACTTCGTGCAGGTGGTGCGGAAGGTCAGTACGCTCTCCGCCTCGTTCAGGTTCGCCGGCTTCCTCTTCCGCTTTCCTTCTTTATTCTGTCATCCTTTCTTCAGTTTTTGTCCATCTGTTTTCTATTATGTAAATGTGCCCCCCCCCCCCCCCCCCCCCCCCCCCCCCCCCCGTGTTCCATCACTCTGTCACATGAGAGCTGATGGAGAGGGGCAGATGGAGAGGGGCTTAACCACGACCTCAGAGACCACACCTCGCATCGCCACACTCCCCGTCGCAGACGGCCACACGTGCTTCCTGGCATCTCTCTGCGCCGGCGGCCATAAATGGATGGAGGCGGTGTCGCCATTCCGGGCTGGCGTCGGTCACCCTCTTCGCCGGGCGTGGGTTTTCACACTCCGCGGAGTCCAAGCTCTCCCGGCGGCCGTGCCGTGTCACCTCCCTGACGCCTGCTCTGTCTCTCTCGCCTGCAGACTGAAGGCACTGGTGTCCACGGGCTTCCGGAGTGTGCAGGCCGCATGCGATTGGTGAGTTTCTCATGCGTGCACCTGCGCTTGCACACGTTCGCTACATGTATACAGCACGCGCAGAGTGGGCCCCTGGTCCCGATTCAGCACGGTTCGTAAGCATATGGCTAACAGGGACAAGCTCTGTGCCAAACTATTCTGGTATCAATGCTGCCCCCTGCTGGCAGACTGTTTATTCGGCAGGCTCAAGAAATCAAAATGTTTCGGCTCTTCTCAGAATTGGTATTCAGAGGCATTTCCTTCCGTATTGTCCACAGGCTGTTCTCCCATGTGGACGACCCTTTCCTGGATGAGCCACTGCCCCGGGAGTTCGTGCTGTACCTGCGGCCCAGTGGGCCTCTCCTGCACCAGCTCTCCCACTACTGGCAGCAGTCGCGCCTCATGTGTGGCAAGAACAAGGCCCACAACATCTTCCCCCACATCACCCTCTGCCAGTTCTTCATAGTAAGTTGCGGGGGGGGGGTTGTGGTAGCATTTCAAAATGTTCCAGAAGACTGTCATTCACTGCCTGACAGCTGTGGTGCATTTTTTTTTACTGTGCTGCGTTATCCAGTGTCTCAGTGACTCTCCGTGCTTGTGCAATATTATTCTAGTGTGCTGTGTTAGCCTGTGTCTCAGTGACTCTGCTTACCTGTGCATTATTATTATTTACCTGTGCTGTGTTAGCATGTGTTTCAATGACTCCATACCTATGCACTTTAATTTCACTGTGCTGTGTTAACCTGTGTCCCAGTGACTCTGCTTACCTGTGCATTATTATTATTTAACTGTGCTGTGTTCGCCTGTGTTTCAATAACTCTCCATGCCAATGCACTACAATTTCACTGTGCTGTGTTAGCCTGTGTCACAGTGACTCTGCTTATTTGTGCATTATTATTATTTCACTGTGCTGTGTTAGCCTGTGTGACACCCTCTGCACTCTGCTCTCCAGTGTGAGGATCAGAAGGTGGAGGCTCTGTGCGAGGCTCTGCAGGCCACCGTGAACCAATGGCGAGGCCGTTTCCCCAACCCGCTGCCCCTGGAGCTCTACACGTCCTCCAGCTTCATCGGCCTCTTCGTGGAGGAGAAGATGGCCGAGGTCCTCAAGGCCTTTGCTGCGGACTTTGCTGCCACTGCCACAGGTAAAACAGGTGAATCGCCTGTGTAGGGCAAAGGGGCTGTTTTTGTGAGCTCTTCATTTGATGTTTTTATATATTTATATATGTGTATGTATATTATAAGTAGAAATCAGCAGTAATTTGTATATTTTTCGTCTTTATGTATCTCCTAGTCGCTATTGCTATTTTTCTTCTATGTATCTCTTAGCTGCATTATCCAGGTAACCATAATATCCAGGAATGCAAGAAAGCTTATGTCCAGCATACTGCAACAGTTTAAGTAGTCGATTGTGCCATATGTAACAGCAATCTATAGTCTGAGTAATTAAAGTGTAGGAAAGAGTACTGTAGTGTATTATGCTTTTTAAACATTTTACTTGAGTGTGTTTCACGTGTGTGGGAGAGGGATGGGATGGACGTAACACAACAATTAAATGCAATAAATAAAGCTTTCATTTCATGGAGGACAGGGGGGGAAATCCAATGGCATTTGAGATGGATGAAAGTGAAAAACCCAAATAGATGCTGCTGGTATTGCATCTCCTGGGGCCTGACCCTTCTAGGGGTGGAAAATAATTAAGTTTTAGCCATGGGGGGATAAAGTTAAATGAACTGAATTAATTATCATCACCCTCAGTCAGCAGCCCTGCCCTTCCTCCCCCCCAGGTTACTCTTTTATGCCGGCATTTTGTATTGTTATGTCGAGACCTCCACTATGTTTCCGTGTCCTTCTGCACACCACAGATATCCATGTGGAGCCGCACAAGAAGCAGCTCCATGTGACCCTGGCCTACCACTTTCAAGCCAATCACCTGCCGTCATTGGAGAAACTGGCCAAGGGCATCGACGTGTCGGTGGGCTGCGATTGGCTGGCCGTGCTCTATTCCCGGGACATCCGATTCGCCAATCACGAGGTATCCCGTCTTATCTTACCCCTGTGTACCATGTCTGACTTAAAATAGAAATACTTCCATGACTTTTTTTTATTTTGAAAAATATTTTAATCAAATCCAAATTATCAATCTGCTGTATGTCTTCTTTGTAGCTATTACGATTGTGAAATAAATCTCAAGGTATAAAAAGACTGAGCATCGCTGGCCACTGCTTGTATGTCGTAAGACGAGCTCAGAAGGCCGCGGGAGTTCAATCCTCCCTCATGTGTTCAGGCATCGTGTCCCAGAAAGAAAAGTACTGGCCCTAAGCAGCACGTGTAAGATTCAGCTAAGATCTGAAATACAAGCGTAACGACACCTTTTAGGCATTTCTTCTCACCCTGTTTACGGGGAGTCACTATGCTCTTTTTTTTTTTGATAGCTGTAGCGGGTACTTCTACTGAGATAGATCAGGTTGGGTGGATTTTGCTCAAAGGTTCGACGGCGGCGATGCCGCTGGGTGGCATTGCGGTCAGGCAGAAGGTTTTCTGATAAACACCAGGCCGTGGTTCAGCTTCTCAGGCGCTGTCGTGTGGCATTATAATGTTTTTTTCATTCCTGCGCAGACGCTGAGGGTGATGTACCCCTACGCCCCGCAGAACGAGGACGAGTTGGAACTGTCGCCAGGCGATTTCATCTATATGTCATCGCTGGAGCAGAACAACACCAGTGAGGGCTGGGTGTTCGGCACCTCCCACAGCACGGGGGTGTCCGGCCTGCTGCCCGAGAACTACATCAGCCGGGCCGACGAGTGCGACACCTGGGTCTTCCATGGGTCAGTCCCCCGAGGCATCTCGCATGACCCTCCTTCTGGAGCCCTGCCCACGGAGCATTCTGGAATCGGCAGACCTGCTTGTTGCACGTATGCCGTGCAGAGTGCACAGTGCGTTAAGGCTTGTTGTTGTGTGACTCAGGGAGGTAAACCACTGTGCTTGTGATAGGAAGGTTGCTGACTCAGTCCCATACATAGCAGAATAGTAACAACTCAATTGGCCCTTAACCCCCTGCTCATGGGAGATTTCTTTACCCAAATATGTTCTGAGGTCAGAACGAAGAATGATTGGTTCAGAGAGAGAACCAATCAGATTTTTAGAGGAGGTTGGTCCAAGAAATTAGAGAAGGTGGGACCAACTAATCAGATGTCGCAGTCCCACCTTCTCTAGTTGCTTGGACCCACCTCCTCTACAATCTTATTGGTTATCTCTTTGAATCAATCAATCTTCGTTCTGAACATTTTTGTCTAAGTGAAACTCCCACGAGCGAAATGCTCCAGGGGATAAATAAATGCTTGACCTTGTGCTTGGACCCCAAGCCATGCTCTGAACTCTGAGCAAGATGGGAAATGTGAAAAGAAGCATTCCGATGTACTTGAGCACATAAAAGCATCATTATATCATTTAATTTTTATTTGTTTAAAGAGCAGGAGTCATCTGAGCGTGCGCAGTGTCCAGTGAGCTCAGTGGCTGATTGGCTTGTGCGGCACGCTATGTCGTGTTTGTGATACGCTTGCTAATGGTGTGACTCTTCACGGTGCAGGTCGTACTCCTTTGGCTCCACCTCCCCTTCTGCAGCGTTGGGGGCCATGGGCGGGGCCTGTGATGGGCAGCTGGATAGCCGGCACCTAGAGGAGTCCGGCCTGGGGGATCTGCACACTTTCAGTAACATCTGTCACCCGTTACAGGTACTGCACTGCAAAACTGGGCAAAGTCCATAATAAAATAAAGTCATACGCCAGTAAACAGTAACACTTATATGTTTCGATTAAGTCTGTTCAGCTTCAGAGCGACATCTGAAGCTGACCTTCTGTTTGGGTTGTGCTTTTGTAACCTCAAGCAAAGCACCTTATTAACAAAAAGTATCGATTGTAGGCTGGTTAGGATAAACCTGTCGGTTAAACAACTCGATGTAATGGAACCATGAAGGTGCTGGATGTTTGTTGTCACTAACTGAGACCAGAGTGGGTTTCAGCTCCGCTGTGTCTCAGGCTTCTGTGTCGGATCGTCCCACTGCAGGGGCTACAAATCAGCAGCCAATCGCAGCTGCCCAAGCGGTGCCTCTTCGTCTGTCGCCACGGTGAGCGGATGGATGTGGTGTTCGGGAAACACTGGTTCAACCAGTGCTTTGATGCCAAAGGTGAGGAACACCTTGATCAGACCGGATTGGACCACACCCAGCCAGACTCTGAGCTCTGAGCTCTGAGGTCTTTCACCTCATTAGTGTTCATCCATAGTCCAATGTTATAGGCATCAGTGCGCAACATGCTGTGAATTTTACATTTTTAAATGCACAAGTGTGGAGGTAAAACAGATTTATTGGTAGAACAATTTTCTTCCACCAGTTTAATTAAATATTTTGCTTAGATGTGACCCAAGCCACCATCATTAATTTAGAAATTATTGTTAGTTTGAAGTTTCCATTTCCATTGCTTGTAAATCCTGTTGTGTCTGGAATTTTAAGTAATGTTAGTTTTAATTAAATATTATTATAGTGCATTGATTTACTCCTCTGATTCGCCTAGCTGGCACTACAGGGGAGCGGTTACAGACAATTAATCTACACCCTTCTGACCAATCAGATTTGAGAATTCTACAGAATTCCACACCTTATTTGCCCCCTGAATGTTCTGCTTTGCTCATTGGATATCAGCTTCTGAAATATAGCAGATGTCCGCGTATGAGCCGTGCTGCAGCCGGCTGTTAAATGCGATGCCGCTGCAGGTCGATACGTACGAACCAACCTCAACATGCCGGCTAGCATGCCCCCCCGGACCGGGGGCTACCGAGACTACGAAAAGGACGGCCCTATCACTGTGTTCGGCTCCACACAGGCCAGGCTAGTGGGTATGTGTGCGCTAATGCTAACAATACTGATAATAAAGGCTTGGGTCGAATTCCCTTTGGAGTCTTACATCTCGTCTCTTCTTCTTTTTTTTTTTAATTTCCTGCGTGTGTATATCACAGGGGAGGCCCTGCTGGAAAGCAATACGGTGATACATTTTGTTTATTCCTCACCATCCCTGCGCTGTGTCCAGACCGCCCACAGCATTCTCAGAGGTACAATATGCAATATGCTTCATCCTCTGAGACCCCCCCCCCCACACGCACACACACACACCCTTCCCTGTGCTGAAGGAACTTCATTACAGTAACGCCCCCCCTCCACTCATCCACCAGGCCTCCAGCAGGATGGGAAGCTGAAGATCCGGGTAGAGCCGGGGCTTTTTGAGTGGACCAAATGGGTATCGGGTACATCGCTGCCGGCCTGGATCCCCCCCGCGGACCTGGTTGCGGCCAACCTGAGTGTCGACACAACGTACAGGTGGGGAACACGGCAGGGGCTGAGTATTTTTCACTCTTTATAAGAATAAATATTATATTTATTGGGCACATGTACATTGGTTTGCATAAAATAAATGTATAATGAGAAAGCAGGGTCAGCCAATCCCTGGAGCAATTGTGGGTTAATTGCTTTGCTCTGGGGCACAACGGTGACATCAATCTGTTGATAACGGGATTCGAACCAACAACCTCCTGGTCATGGGTGCAGCATCCTAACCTGCATAGTTGCACACCACCCCGGTTTCTGTATAACGTCATGTGGCACTGAAATGCCTGCATGCCTTCTTTCCTCAGACCTCACATACCCATCAGCAAGCTGAGCGTGTCGGAGCCTTACGAGACCTACATCAGCCGGAGCTTCCAGGTGACCAGGGAGATCCTGGCCGAGTGCAAAAGCAAGGGTAAGCTGCTGCGGCCATTTAACACCACAGCCAGGCCACTCCCATATAATGACTGGTTTCTGATGGTTTTAGTTCAGTCACCCCGCAGTTAACCGAAGCCGTGTATTTACGCAGTAAACCACCTTCCCTGCTGTGTCAGGTGCGAATCGGGATCTAACAAACAGCTGCCTTCTAAATCCCCGGTGCTGTGGACCCTGGAATTATCTTTCCCCAGTTACTGTCATGTCAAGTAATGCTGCCTCAGCTGGCCTACCTCTGAAGGAAAAACCTACAAACAGAAAATACAGCGCAAATACATTAATCGGTGACTCCCAGATGTGTTTGCTAATACACGTTTTGACCCAGAAGTGGATCCCGCCTCAGTACGGCAGAGGAAACCCTCTGTCTGGATAACAAACATGATTAATAAAAACGATCAGGCCAGTCCAGGCTAATTAATGCTTGTTTTTTGCACTACACATGCTTTGCAGCAATTATTGCTTGAAAGTTACTCTTTTTGTATAAACTTTTAAGGCTTCCTGCTCCTTTCTGTCCCCCCCCCCCAATGCTGGGCCCCCATCCAGGGAACAATGTGCTGATTGTGGCCCATGCCTCGTCCCTGGAGGCCTGCACTCGCCAGATGCAGGGCCTCAGCCCGCAGAACTCCAAGGACTTCGTGCAGGTGGTGCGGAAGGTCAGTACGCTCTCCGCCTCGTTCAGGTTCGCCGGCTTCCTCTTCCGCTTTCCTTCTTTATTCTGTCATCCTTTCTTCAGTTTTTGTCCATCTGTTTTCTATTATGTAAATGTGCCCCCCCCCCCCCCCCCCCCCCCCCCCCCCCCCC